CATCTCTGCTGTAGCTCCCGAGAGGCCAATGTTTCTACTTCGTAGCTTTACTGAGTGGGCTCAGGCTGACATCTCCATGGTCCTGAGAGTCTTTTCTTCCACGGAGGCTTCACTTTCAACTGCCTATAGCATCTGATCTCTTCTGGAGGAACTTGTGAGGTGTTTCTTATTTTTAGAATAATTTTACACTATAGTCACTTATTCATATAGGAAAAAAAAGAGTACAGCATTATTATACGTGAAAACCTTTGGAAATCAGTAACAGTGAGGGTCTGAAGATCAGAACAGTAAGTAATGACTCCTCTCGGAATCCTTTTTCTAACCCACCACCTAGTTGGATCCCCGTATGCTTCATTAGCTAACCATTTGTAACAACCTGTTCAACACCTACCTTCCCCATGAAGCTGCAAGCTCCACGATGGCAAAGCCTTTATCTGTTTCTTTCATCACTATATTCCCTAGCACATTGTAGATGATCAGTATATGTCTGTTGATCAATTGACCAATGTTAGACTAATTGCTTAGTATCTTAGGGCTTTTAGTTTTTTCATCTATAAAATCAGTGGATAAATTAAATCATCCTCAAAGTCCTTACCAGATGGAACTAACTTGTATCATGATTTGTGAAGTGCACTGATGTCTGCTACTTACTGTGAAATGCACTAAAAACATAAGATTTTTTTGAATCTCATGCATTGTTGAATGCATAGAGGGATGGATAGATATGGGATAAAGCAAGCATAATACAATGTTAATTGTAGAATATAGGTAGTGAGTATATGGATGTTCACTGCCAGTTACTTCAACTTTCTGTGTAGTTATAAAGTTTTTCATAATAAAATGTTGGGGGAAAAAATGGGGGGTTCAGAATAGCCCAAAACATGGACTGCGGTAGGAAAAAAAGCTGAAGAAACTAATTCAATATAAAAGTCATCAACAAGAGTTCAGGATTAGAAAAAGAACAAAGACAAAATAGATGTACACATTTTAATAGAATTGTGTGAACTTGCAAAAACTTTATGTAAGAGTTTAGAGGAGAAAGAGAAATCATGGGGGACTACCAAGATGGGCAGAAAGTGCTTCAAGAACTAGGTGATATTTCAGCAGGGCCTTGAAGGTTATGCATAATTTGAATGGGTAATGAGTTTAAGGAGGAATTTTTAAGGGACTGAGGACAGCTGAAAATGATAAAGTGAGCATACGTGTGGAGCAAGAAAACAAGCAAAGACAGTGAATTTCACATTGGCTTACCTGCAACTAAATAGGGAAAGTTAAGGTTGGAAAGTAATGATGATAAACAAAATTTATTAGGATCTTCTGTATATATTTGAGGTACCTGCACACAGCACTTTCCATGCATTCTCTCATTTAATTCTCGCAACAAACATATGAAGAATTACAATAGTTGCTAGTAAGGAAACTAAGGTTTAGAGAAGTATATAGTTATTTGCCCAAGGTCACAGCTAACAAGCAGTAGAACCAGGTTTGTCTGACCCCAAAGCCCAAATACCTAACCATTAGACATACTGCCTCCCTGGTAAAGTGAGGCTAGGCTCTAGGGGGCCTTAAATACCAAGGTAAAAAGTTTGGGCTCTACTCCCTAAGCCTGGAGATCCACTGAAAGATTTTTGATGATCAGAGATTTTTAAAAAGAAAATTGGCAGAAATGGGCAAGAGATTGAAGCTAGGAAGCCCAATTAGGGAGCTGTCACAATAAGGTGTGAATAAAAGCCCTAATCCGGAATAATTGCTGTGGGGGCAGAATAAAGGAATAAGAAGTCTTTAAGAAGAAATAATCTACTGACCTCTTCCTAGTAATATTATATCGAGACATTCACTGTTTTGGTATCAAATATTCAAATTAAAAGTATCTTTAGATCCCAAATGTTGTATTGTATTAGCCCGGTGAGACTCCAAAGACAAATAAGCAGCCCAAATGTCATTCCCGTCCACTTGCCAAGCCACTCAGGCCTCTGGGATGGTTTGAGGGTCTTCAGAGTGTTGACAGGTCTGGCTTGTCTGAGCTGCCCACAGGGATCCTTGGGGCCTACTCTTGCAATTCTCTATCACTACTGACGGGCTCCAGAATGGATCCAAGAGGTCCAAACCTGGTTGTCCCATCAGTAATCTGATAGGGCTAATCTCTCTTCCCCAAGAACTGGATCTAGAGCAACTAGGGTTGGTTAGGCTGCCACTTAACCTGATCCACTGGGATGGCTGTGGCTTTCTGCTGTGAGCTGCCTAGAGGAGTTAGCTGAAGGGTGGGAATTCTTATCAAAAGAGATATGTGTGCATATAAAGGAGGATGAAAATGCCCAGGGAGTTGGTGTGCCCTGGGGAGCATTTGTTTACATGTGGGTTGGGGTCCCTGAAACAGCTCTCTGGTGTTCCCTCCTGCCCTGTCTCTCCAGTATTTCCCCGACAAAGTGACATGCTGGGGAGTACAGACCATGAAACAAGAGAAGAAGAGACTCCTGAAAATACAGACCAGTGGACAAGCACACATATGCGTGTGTGTGTGTGCGTGTTTGTGTGTGTGTGTGACTATATCAATAGCCAAGATGGAAAGCAAGTTCTCAGACAGTGAGAGGGTGTTGAATAAGAGGAGGGTCTACCAGAGGGAATGAAGAATTGCATTATTTTCCCACATGTTTACAACCAACAGTCTTTGAAGTCCAAGGAGATTTGTAGGAAGAAGAGTACTATTCAAGCATGAGCCCAAAGCTCAGACACTCAGAAGCCACTTATAATGAGGGTTAGTTAGGCTCAGGGGGCTATTGTCAGAGTCTGACTAATTGAGAGATGAATCAGTGCTTTATAAACTGTAAAGTGCCTTTAAATTATGAGGTGCTATATAAACTGTAAAATACTACACAAATGTAAGGGAGAATGATGACAATTATTTGAAGAGGAGAACATTATTCTGAGTGCAGTCTGTGACTTGAGAATTAGACAGTAAGAAAATTATTTTAAACAAACAACAGAATTTGCCTGTTGAAATGTATCTTCTCTCTTTCAGAATCAATAATCTTGATGGGGCTTGACATTTATTTCAAAGAGAAACTACTCAAAACATATGAGACTCCTTTTCTGGGATTAATTTCCTTCAGAACCAGCTTACAAGCCACAAAAAATTATCTCATTAATTTATAGTCACACTGTGTTTTGAACCTTACATATTATCTAGCTTAATCATTACAGCTGACTCCAAAAGAATTTTAAGTGTTTTTTAAAAATCAAAATTCACTCTCTAAAGCAATGATCCTTAATCTCTTGTGTGTGTGTGTGTGTGTTGAGGACCTGCCAAAATGCACAATGCACAGAACAGTTTGCATGGGAATTTCTAGATCCCAAGGTAAAGAACTCTTGATCTTCCAAGAGTTATAGAAATTCAAATTTGAGGGCTACAGGTCTGAGGGCAATTATTATCTGAACATAAGCAGCAGGTTTGTTGGAATAAATGTTTAGCCTCCCAAAGGAATTGGTTGAAGGAAACCACACCACTGTAGGAGTGATCATATGGTATGAGTGTTTAAAAATTAGTCCGTTAGAGTCATATGGGGTTTGTGTCGTCATTTCTGTAGCTGCAGTGGTTTTTGGCGTGCGTGTGCGTGCGTGTGTGTGTGTGTGTTTGTGTTCATTGCTAGTAGGATGTTTAGGCAGCAGCTATTGCCTCCCCAGGTGTCTACCCTCAACTCAATTTAACCAACTCAACCTGAAAGAGCCATAGCCCTAGGAAAAGGAATCAGATGGGCTGCAATTGCCCTTGAGGCCCACCTGGTTACAAGAGAGAAAGAAAGGCATGATTGGCATTTGTGTAGCCGCTTTCACTCTCGGAGGAGTCCCGGCCAAGGGGTTTGGAGCTTACACTGCTGTTGTCTTTTTGAGACAGAGGGGATATCTTGTGATCCTCTCGCATGCCAACCACTGTTAGAAACAGACTTTAGGTGAATTAGTTAATTTAACTCTTAACCTCCTCAGAAAGACAGTATTGTTCTCATTCTGTGTCTCGAGACACAGAAAAGCTAAAGAACTTATAATCAAAGTCAATTGGCTAACAATTAGCAAAGCAGGCATTTAAACTCAGAGCTCCTTCTGCTGCCCAACACTGACTCTCCCATTTCTTCCCAGCCTCTGGGAAATGTTCCCATGAGCTCCGCCCTCCCTGGGGGCCCCTGGAAATGAAAGCCATTCACTTATCTCACCAAGGACAGTGTCCCGAAAGGCCTGCCCATCAGACAACTGGGACTAAGCCTCATTTGCTTCTATTACTAACTTCCTTCCTGATCTTGGCAAGCTCCTTGAGTGATCTGGGTTTTCTCATCTGTAAAATGAAGAGGATAGAACTAGATGAAACTTCCAGCTGAAAAATTCAGTGACTGAATTCTGTGCACTCACCCCATTCCCTGAAGCTGGCAGGCCTCCCGATCCTGTGGGCTGCTCACCGCTCCCCACTGGATGCCACCTTCTCTGACCGTCCAGCTAGAAGGATGCTCCACTCCAACCACAGGTACGGCTGTTGTCCATTTTACACTTACTTGGTTTATCTCTTCCATTTTAACTTCCATATCTTATCTGAATTCCTCAAATGTTTTTGCTTATTTCTTTAACTCTTATGTAGTACTCCAATGTATGAATAAACCAATTTATGTTTTAATTCCTCCACGAGAGACAGTGGTTGTTTCCATGTTTCACTAACAATGCTGTGACTAACATTCTTTCAGTTGCCTCCTGGAGTGCTTGTACAAGAGATTCTCCAGAATGAACGTCTAGAAATGGAATTGCTGAGTCATAGGGTTTGTGTATTAGGTACTGCCAAATTGTCCACTGAAATGCCAGTACTGACAAACGTTCCCACTTGCAGTGTGTACGAGTTCTGTTTCTCACATCCTCACCAATCCTATCAAGCTTCACATCTTTCCAAACTAGCATTTTGACTGCATTTGCCTTATGACACTCAGCACTTTCTACTTTATATCTGTTTATATGCTACCTCCCCTACTGGCTGTGAACTTTGCGAGGTCAGAATCCTTGCTTAATTCATTTTTATATTCGTCCCCAAGAATTTACTGAGCTTAGTAAGTATACAATAAAGAGTTATGAACAGATAAATGATAAGCAAACTGAATTCATTTTGACCCAAGGAGATGCGGATTCGATGATGGCAGGGACGAAGTGTCTCTCTCTATTCATCTGGGGTGAGGATGTGGGTGGGGAACCCCATCAGCTGCAGTGATGGTTGCACAGTGGTCAGAAGTGGCTGACAGACCAAAGGTTTCAAGATCTACAGAGGACTCTCTCCAACCTTTGGAGATCCCAGCTTTAGGGAATGTTTTATCGTGGTGTTCAGCAGCTATCTATTGACTGTTGGGAGCAGCAAATTTCCCAGGCTCTGGGGCCATCTTTTTATATACCAAGAGTGCTGTTTCTGAATGGAACTCCCCCACCTCTGGCTCCACCCCATTACCAAGGGTTGGATAGAATCCATGTGTCCTTTGGACTAGGAAGCTGCATGACCTATGGTAAATGCCTCCCCCTTTTGACACCCCAGCAGTTCCAGGCTGACTCATTTTCTAAATAAGCCACTTGTGGCTTTTGGTCTGACATCACATGTGGAAGAATGAGTAATTTTTCAAGAACCAGAGTTATATTGGATCAGAATAAGATACACTGTGTATGTTACTCATAGTTCTAGGACAAGGGGTCAACACTGGTAACAAGTACCCTAACGTTCTCCCACCCCTCATTTCCCTGGGGCCAAGGGATAGAGAAAAGGCGAAGGAAGGAGGTGCGTATGGATGTGAAGAATTTTTGTGTACATCTCTAATTTTGTTATCACATTATGTACAGTTTAATAAAATTGTCTTGTCGCCTCTGCTAGATTAAGTAAAAGTAATATAGCAAAGTAGGCAAGGCCATGGGGCTCCGCTGCTTGGGTTCAAATCCCAGCTCCACCACATACCAGCTGGGTGACCTTGGGCAAGTTACTGACTCTTGATTTGCTTCCATTTCCTAGTGCCTATAATGTAGGGCTGTTGCGAGGAATAAATGAACTCGTATATATGGATCACTTAGGATCGTGCCTGGAACTTAGTATGCACTATGGAAATATTAGTAAATATTTCCTTGAATCCATCACAATGTTTATGCTCATGTTAAATGCTCAATAAATGCTTTTAGATGAAATGAATTCATCTTATTAAAACATACTTGGAACTGGGGGATAGAAGTGACTACAAGTGGTAGACTCTTGGTTGGAAATGGAAGGAACCATAAAGATCAATTCCCTTGAGCACAGGTATTACCTGCCTGCCCCACTTTTGTTTTGTTAGTTGTTTGTTCCCTAGTTATGTGCACTGTGGTGGGATAAGGGCTGCCCCCACCAGGTGTCACTCAATGGAGGTTCTACTTGCTGTTTTTTAAGCGTAGGAAGAAGGCACAAGTCTACATCCTCAAACCCTGGAAGCATGGGCTGAGTTAGAAAGGAGACCCTGGCACCAGAGAACTTCATTCTCTGACTTCTCAGCACCTACTACTTGTGAGGCGTTAGCAAGACAGCGGCATTAGGATGGGCGTTATTTTGTCGAGTTGTTAGTAGGATGGGAACACGTGTAGGAAATTATTTAGATAAGATGTTAATATCAATGCAGATGTGGTATGCATTCTCACAGCATTTGTGGCTTTTTGGGAACATACTCCTGAGTCCCAAGAGTCACAAAGAAGCCATAGTGAAATCCCTCGAAACCCGCCCTCTATCACAGACTTCTTCAGGATGCCGGGAGATTGGCGGACCCCACTCATGAGAGCAGGCCCATCCTGCCTCACTGGCACCTCCGTGCGGGTTTTAGCTGAGGAGACGGGCCAGACAAGTAGCTCCAACTGGGCCACTACGGAAGCCAAGGTGCTATGCTTATTAGAAAGGCTCCACATTCAGTACAACTGGTAGAACTGCTGAGTTACTGGGGAGGTGTCAGGAAGCGCAGCCTGGGGGGCATCTAAAGGACAGCCGTATTCTCAACCGTTGCAAAGACAGTCACACACACGCCAACACAAACAGCTTCACCCTCCTGGGTTTTTCCCTTCCCTATACTCACGCGCACACACACGCGCGTGCCTCACGTACACTCTCTCAGTCAAAAGGGGGGCCTAGGGGAGACCTCATGGCTGAATCAAATGCTGGTTAATGCTGCTGCTTTTATTACACCAAAGGTCTTAACATTTATTTGGAGAGGAACACAAAACTTGGCATACTGGCATGCATTCTCTACAGCACAGTTTTGGAGGAGCTCAAGATCACTGCACCCCACACAGGAGAACAACGCCGGAGGTGGCAGGGGGACTGTAGGTTCTTGGTCTCTCTGGTCAGCAGACTACAGGTGCTTCACTACCATAGCAATCGAGGAATCTTGTGTGCTGGGCAGGTGTGTTTTCAACAGCTAAACAGGTGTGACAAGGGATCCAGGTGTGGGTGAGTCCCTAACACTTAGAGCCGAGAGTTATTCTGGGGTAAGTATATTCTCCCCAAACAGGTAGCACTGACTACAGGGGGGCATGCTTAGTACTGCATCTGAGCTTGGTTAAGCAACCAGGTGTCCTCAGTGAAGGGAATCCTGGTTTCAAAGAAAGAATAAGACATGATGGTGCTATCACAATAAGGCCACTAAAGTCACAGCGAACGAGGATCTCAGAGGAAGCTCTCACGACTACAGGGAAGCAGCTCTATCCTCTCTGACGTCAGGTGCCCCTTGCTGGGTAGGCGCCTGCTCTGAGACCTTCACCTCGTCCTTTCTGAGCTGCAGCACATCACTGAGCGCAACAGAGCAGAGGAGGGGGCCACACACGTTAAGGTCATGGGACATCACCACCAAGTGTGGCTGACTGTTGTTGGCAAATGTCTTGGATTCCTTTCTCGGTTGGGCTGGGTGCCCCTGTGTGTCTGGAGAGCTAATCTGAAAAGAGGCTGGCAAAGGACTTCCTCAAGCTCCGGATGGTCTCTGCCTTGGCTTCATCCTCATTGGCTGAAGACCGGAAGAAGGAGGACTCAGAGAAGCTGAAGGCATTTGTCAGGGACTGCGACTTGCTTGAAGATAAAAACCAGAGAGAATGTGAGAGGGTGGTGTTCCCAGTGAGGCAGGGAAGGACGGTGACACGAGGATACACGACCGGAATGCCCACTCCCACCCCAGGGAGACTGGGTGGCAGAGGAGAAAGCCAGCATGGGGCATGCTAGCAGGCCCCTGGGAGGTCCCTGTGCTCTTTTCTTTACCTGCAGTGCTGCTCAAACAGGAAAGGATGGAGGCAGCGTGGGAGAGAAGGAGAAGGGGGAAAGAGAGAAGAGAAGGAAGGAGAAGGGAAAGAGGAAGAAGGGGTGGCTCAAGGCTCTTCCTTTCACTTAATGCTAAAGGGCCCACAGGCTAAATTTCAGGGCCCCAACTTGGCAAGAACTAATCCAGGAATCTCACACCCTTCCCCTTGGATGAGACGTAGCAACCAGGGGCCAGTGGACTCTTGGGCTCTCTTTCTCATCAACTGTCCAGTAGTGGAGCCAGCATCAGAAGACCTGGGTCAAAGTCTTGGTCCCGCCTCTCACTCACGCTTGACCTTAGGAAGCCACGTGCCTCTCTGAGACTCGGTTTCTTGTTTGGTTTCTTAATTGTGTTATGTAGATGTCTGGTAAAATGATCGCTAGGCCTTTTCAGCTCTTTCTTTTTTGCTTTTTTCTCTGATTCCAAAAGAACCTTTTGACTTGGCACGAACTCTAACAACTCCATTTACCGTCCTTACAATGGGCATAATCGCCCTTGCAGCCTTCCTCAGAGGAGCCTAATATGAGGTGTGTGAGTTTCAGGGTGTCCAGGGGCAACAGAGATACACATCAGGCCTACACAAGGTTACTGGGTAGTTTTCTAATGAAAAAACCCAAACTGCACACATTTTAGGGACCAGTTTTTCCCTTGAGACACTCGTGAGTCAGAGAGAAAAACTGTGAAGGCAAGAAGGTGGAGGGGAGGCCAGGCCCAACACTGCAGGAGAGGACACGTGGTCTGGCGTCTCCATGGCCGTCTTCTCTCCTTCTTGACTTCTGCTTGTCTCCTTCCTGCTGGTTCCTGGCTCCAGAACTCCTCTCCCAGTATCTCAGCGCTCCCAGCCCTCCCCTGAACTCGGACACAGCCCCAGAAACTCCCTTCTGCAGGGGCATGAGCCTGTCTCTTCTCCTGCAGTGGCTGAACAGGTGCCCTGCCTTTCACTGGGCCTGCCTGGGATGAGCCCCAACATGCTGGCCTCTGGGAGCGGCGACTCCTCGGCATGCACAGGCCGGGGGCACAGGTACAAGCCTCCCGCTTGTCATCAGAGGCTGGCTCGATTCAACAGCTTCAGCCCAAAGGCGGTGACAGCCCACAAATCTGCCCTCAGACTGGGGCCAGAGTTGGCTCAAGAGAAGGCAGGCGAGATTGAAAAGTCAGCTGCAGAAAACGACGGGGTTGAGGGGAAGGTGTGAGGTAGGCGAGACATGAAATGTACCCTCGGCCAGAGCTGCGGAGCAAGGCCGGGGGATGGCCCTCCCATCATACAGGACTGGAAGACCCAACGGAAGTGGTCATCCGGACCACCCGAGCCCTCATCCTGGCTCTGCCGCTAACTAGCAGAAGGGTTTTGACAACATCAGATCTCTCTCAGCAGTGTTTTCTCATCTGTGCAGACTAGAGATGATCTCTGAGTGGCTCATCTGAGCCCCAAACTCGACAGCTCCCTGTTCTCCGTCCCTGAGAGTTTCATCTCTTTACTGAGATGCACTCACGGAACGCTTCCGATCCCCCGGGCTGTGGCTGTCTGTGCCGACAGTCGTGACAGAGGTCTGTGGTTGGGGACCTTGAAGAGAGTCGTCTCTGGTTCTGGGGGAGGGTGGAGCTGAGCACCCAGGTGCTGTCCCTACCAAATGCAGCTATACTGTTTTCTAGGGGCCCTCAGTTCTGTCCTCTGAAGCAGGATAGTGTGACAGGGGTTTCTAGGGTTACTGTTGGGAATGAGCGAACCCAAGAGGATGGAGTTCCTCAGGGTCTCTATATGGGCCTCTCCTCTGATGACCACGCCAGAAACCAACCTCCTTCTGACAAAGCTGAAGGTAAAAAGCTGAAATGGATTTAACTACTTCCCCCTTTTCCTTCTGGGCAGCCTTGCTGATTGGCACACCCTAAACTGTGAGTCAGAGGCAGAAAAGAGAATTAAATTTTTTTTTTTTAGAAAGAGAAAGACACATATACACACAGAGAAAAGGAATGGAAAAAAGAGTGGGAGGGAGGATTAAAAAAAAAAAAAAAAAACCCAAACCCAAAGCTCATATAAGAATGGGAGAGGGGGTAGTAACTGCTTTATTGCCACTCCCCAGGAAGAAAGGGGAGGGTTTGAGCTTCTAGCTAGACCTTAAGACTTTCACTTCCCTCTTTCTTGCCCTCCCCAATCAACCCAACCATGCCCCCCACAGAAAAACCCACCAAAACCCAAACCCCCGAAAAACCCCACAAAAATATCTTTAGGAGGAGGTCTGATTGAAGGTGCTTCCTAGCAGCTCTGGAGCCCAAGGCCTGAGAGGAGGGGCAGGAAGAGGGGAGGGAGGAGCTGCTGAGCCATCTCTTACTTGAGCTGTGGGTGAGGCTGGGGCTTCTGTGGTGGAGCAGCCGGGGGTGGCTGGACCTCTGCCAGGGAGCTGCCGCTGGAGGGTGCATCTCCGTGGGTGGTGGGGCCGCCCGAGGAGGAAGAAGAGGAGGAGGAGGAAGAAGAGGAAGGTGGCAGCGACGGTCCAGGGGGGAGCCGGCGTGGACGTAGCACCTTGCCTGGGGGTGGCATTCCTTGGGGTTGCCCAGGGCCCCCTAGGTTCAGTACAAGAAAAACTTCATAATTTACCCATATCAGAGGGTTTCCTTATTAGAATCTATGTCCCAAAGGGTGTGGCTATTTAATTACCAAAGGATAAGCTCTATGACAAGAAGCCATCCGAGGCTCTGAAGGGCTCCAGAGCAGGCCCCCAGTTACCCTCAGATGTCGCCGCTACACGCTCCTCCTCACACTCACAGCGGCTCAGTCACAACAGAAGTCGGAGCACAGGGAAGAAGCCACGGGATGAGCGGCCCCCATCAGAGGTGAGATCTCTTACGGAAGGCCCCCAGACCACAGGGACCACCCCTCTCCCCCAGAGCTTCCTCAGGTACAGGCCAACCTGGCCCACGGTGTACTAGGAGGTCTCAAGTTCCACATTGTTATTTTGGAGTCGGCCTTAGTCTGTCCTGCTCCATGCCTGCATGTCTGATTGCCATACCCCCAGCAGGGCTTCCTTTCAGCATTAAGTCATGCCCATGACTAGGACCTTTTGTGTCCAGTTGCCTCTTAGTACCATCCTCAGGGGCTCCAGTCCCTCCCAGGTGTATGTGGTGAAATTCTCCAGAAATCCAAGTCCCATTCTCTCCCTGGAGATGTTGTGAGCACCATTTGGCAAAGAAGAGGCCCCCCCCAAAAGGACCAGGATCCCCTTCTCCCAACATGAGACAGAAAACCATGTGGTGACCTGGAGATCTCATTTCTCAGTCTCAATCCCAGAGTCCACGTTCACGTGCCCACTGGAAGGAGCTGGCTTATAGAAACTCAACGACAGCTAAGAGTTGTACTGTAACTTAGTTTTCTAGAAACACCAGGACACCTGTACCCTCTGGAGAGGCAGAACTGTATGTCTATACCATAGTACATCCATGATTGTAAGCCAGTTTCCCCTCTACACGGCATGGACTTCACTTTATCATCAATGACCAATTAATACCAGGGTGAGTTACACATAAATAAGTAAATAAGTAAATGAATGAAATTTTGCATGTTGAAGAAGTTCTAAGTTCAAATCAGAAAACTAGTGAAGATGGTAGATTAGCAGAGCATTTCATATTAACCAGTTTCTGCCTCTTCCAAAGTTTGACATCATTTGTATCAGCATTTTCTTGTAAAGTACTGCAGGTTGATAGCTCAGCCTCTTGTACCAGAAACCTGAGTGCTTTCCCAACTGCACAGAGATGCTTGAATAGCCAGAAACTTTACAACTTAACACTGAAGACAGATATAACTTTTCCTTTATTGCACATTAAGCTGTACAGGAGTCACAAAAGAGAGGTACTTCAATCACACTTCCAGCATTGGCTGAGGGTCTCCCCGCTGGATTGGTACAAAAAAAGGCGACAACATCAGAAAAGAAATGGGTACAAAACACCTGAACGGCAATCCTATACTGTGACACGGATGCCCCAGGCCACAGAGTTGTCCTCAGCATGCTGCCTGAGGGCACAGGACAGTCAGGGTGTGCTGTCTGCTTGTGTTCGGCCCTGGGAGGGAGCCCTGGTCCCTTTCTCCCTCACCTGATAGACCGTGGCTGACACCACCACCCTGGAGCCTGACTAAATTCAAACGGCAACTTCGTATTTGTGGCTCACAAATGTCACATGAAAAGCACCTGAATGTTCACACTGATCACATGCAAAGAAGCAACACCACTGTCAGCTCACCACTTGGACAAAAATAAATTAAAAAAATAAAATGTATTCCTCCATTCTGGGAAATGTTTCTTTATTCCTTTCTATCATTTCATCAGATTGGGAGGTATTTAAGGACCTGATTCTTATGCAACCCACCTGGAAGTGCTTAACTGCATATATATGTATATATTTACAACAGATCGACTACCATCGGCATCTACATCGTCTAAGGGAGGAATCGCGGACAAGAACATTCACACTCAGTGCATTTACCTGTAGCTCAGAATTTGCCAGCAATCAAGACAGAAACCAGGGCACGTGCCCCTTGACACAGAAATCATGTTACACACCACCACCACCAGTTATTCCTCAAACCTGGCAATCCAGAAAGGTGACATGTCAGTACAGAAGTGAGAGGGAATGCAAAAGTAGAGCTAGAAGCACTTCTTCTAAAAGGCAAACTGCTGGCGTGAACTCCCACAGCCCATGGTGCTAGAGGACGCCACTTGATGCCCGATCCTGGTCTGGCCAGGACATGGCAAGATGAGGCACTGACCCGAGGCCTGGTCTAGTAACTGCCTCATCCCTGCCCAGGAGCTGCATGTCGGAGGAAGGAGGACAAACGGGTGAGGGCTCTTTAAGAGCCACCGCTGTGGAACCACGGCCCCAAACACACAAGCTAAAACCTGAGACAGTCCCTCTCAGGAAAGATAAAGCTCTTCATTCTCTGGACTCTGGAGGGCTCTTGGAACAGCTGACAGCGAAAGCAGGTGCCCACCTCAGAGCTCTGGAGGCAGTGTACCCACTCGAGGGAAACGGGACAGTTTCGATTCGCTCCCATGTCGTGATGCCTCAGGAGAGGCCAAGAGAAGAATGGTTGAATCCTTCCCAGACTTCTCAGTAGCTCCCTGCCTTCTACGTCCCAAATTGCTAAAGAATTATCTCTGTACACAGTAAGCTTTGGGGAAAACGAAGCAGCCTCAGTTCCACAGAAGCGCACAGATGGCCAATTCAGAAATGGCAAAGTAGAAACAACTTACAGGGACTAAGATGAACACAGGGAAAATACTCACAAGTTCACTTTGATATTGCACATCAGCGGCCCCATTTTTTTTTTTTTTTGTCTAATCTCATAGCTAATTAGTTAATAATAAAACGAAGGGTATACTGGGATGTCAAATACAGAACACGCTCCTGGAAATAGCTTATTCTTTATATTTCACGTCATCACTGAAAACACAAGAGCTCTACAGGCACGGCCAGCTTATTCACATAAACTCAAATGCACCAAACTTTAGCAAATGGAGAAAAAGATGGATGCCTTCAGATTCAACGGATGAAGCTACGGAAATAAGACCTCGAAAATCTCTTAAACTTCTATCTATTTACCCTAGTCATGCAGAAAGGAAGCAAAAAGCACAGTTCATTGAAGATCCCAAGCACACTCACGGAGGTAAGCAGGGGGTGGGGGGCAGTTTATCTGAGTCTGGGGGGAGAAGGAGGGGAGTTGGGTTTTATTTTTGTGGTCTTTGTTTCTCCCCTGTCCACCCCCCCACCCAGTCCTATTTCACCCCACATTATGTAATTAAAATATACTATCAAACCACCCAGAAGCTAGTCACACTGAACTTGGGAGAGGCACAATTCTTTCGTACACTGTTGACAAACAGCCCTGGAATCACAAGGTATACAGAGAAACATAAGTGAGCATTACAAGCACGAACAGGAACAGGTAAACAACCAGACAGAGGCACTGACACTGCATAGGAAAAACACAGTCCAGTCAGCCTTGAAAAAACGCAGAAATGGCACCAATGGGAGGGTCTGTTGCTCCCCTCCCCACTTTCCTTTCTTTCCTTGTTTGTTTTTGGCTTAAAATTTCTGCTTTGAAAACTTAACTACCAATCGCTTTAAGAAGCTTGGACTTGTTTTGGCCCTACTGCAATGCCATTACAGTCGAGAATATACTGTAAACAACCTTGGGGGGCTGGCCGCTGAGGTGGGGTCTTGCTCGAGTCCGGATCCTTAAGTGTTCCACTCTGGAAGACAAAAATGCAAAAGAGATACAAACAAAACTCCAAGCAGATTCCAAAGAGAAACCCTGTGGCTCTGTGGCAAGGCTGCAGAGGGATCCGGTGGGATCCAGCGGGATCTGGCCCAGGGGCTTCTGCTGTTCCGGAAACGCCTCAAAGGGACTCTCAGCCTCTGGGTTATTGCCGGGGCCCAAGTGTACGCAGCCTGGGGCTTAGAACCACTCTGACAGGAGTGTCTGACACCTCCTTACCCTCTTTTCACTTCACTCCCTTGTAGACACTCTTTCTAGAAGCTTTGAGACTTCCAACAGCATCTGGTTTCTTCTCTGGGGGCTGCCCAAGGCCCAGCTCCCCTGGCACTCACAGGCCCAGCTTCCTGAGGAAGGATCAACACCAAACTCCCGAGAGTGGCTGGAGTGCCAGCGGGGGCTGCACCAGGTGGCTAGCCTAGACTTGGCTCACTTCTCCTGTGGAGTTAACTCTGGGTGGGATCAGCTCTGGGGCTGACTCAGGGGTCAGAGCCACTCTTTGGGCTGGGTTGGAACTCCCACAGGGAGGGACTTGAAGGAGGGGGCAGTCTTTTGTGTCCCAGGACCCTCCTTAACCAGAGGGAAGGAGTAAGATGTTAATGTTTGTAAAAGTGCTCAAGGCCAAGCTGTTTTTCCCTCTCTAACAGCATAATTGCATTTTACCCAACAACATGGCTCTCCTCCCAGGCTTCCTCTCCTCCCAGCTGTGATTCTGATTATGCCCCAACGGGATCAAAGATGCATGTGACTTCAGTTTGTCTAACATTTGTACCAAAGGCAGTGAGCATTTGGAGCTTGAATTTGGCAAGGGGGAAACGCTCCATGAAGCCTGGGGGCTGCCGAGTATGCAGATGGTGATGTCAAAGAGGGAGATTCGGGGGCTCCCCTGGTGGCGCAGTGGTTGAGAGTCTGCCTGCCGATGCAGGGGACACGGGTTTGTGCCCCAGTCCGGGAGGATCCCACATGCCATGGAGCGGCTGGGCCCGTGAGCCACGGCCGCTGAGCCTGCGCGTCCGGAGCCTGTGCTCCGCGACGGGAGAGGCCACAACACTGAGAGGCCTGCGTACCGCAAAAAAAAAAAAAAAAAAAAAAGGAGGGAGATTCAGAGGCAAGGCTGTGAGAGGCTCAGCGTGTCTTCAGCACACCCCACTTCCTCTTTCACTGCTCCTCTCCCTTGTGACAGGCCCCCCAGCCCTACTCCCACATTAAAACTGTTCCCCATTCCCATGGGCCTCCGATCTGGCCTTCAGGCCCGTTTTCAGCTCCACTACTGGGAGAGCAGAAGCGCTACCCCTCCAGTATTATGGTCTGTTAATGACAGCACTGCTGTCACAGTTCTACCAACAGGATTTCAGATAGGAGGCAGGGGGCCTATGAAATGTCCTGGTGCCACTGCATCAGAGGGTGCCCATTCTATCTACAATCCCGACCTCTCACAGATCACAGCAAGAACACCCACACTTCCTTTCCTTTCTTCCAAGGACTTTCATGGGATCCACGAGGTGGGTCTGAACCCCGGCAATGAAACACCCACACCCAATAAGCCAGCTAGGGCCCACACCATCCAGTCAGCAATCAAAACCCATCAGTTTTTCCTTCTTGGCATCTAAGATTCACCATCTCCTCTTGACCAACTCTGGTCAGGCCTGTATCATTTCCTGTTTAGACTACTAGAATAGTCTCTCAAATCTTTAGTCTCTTCTCCAATCGATGTTCTGGATACCTATTATCCTCTTAAACCCCTTCTCTAATTGTATCAGTTTACTGCTCTAAATAATTTATAGCTGACACTACATAGTGCTGGGTAACATAATGGACAATTTTATGCAGTATTTCCCTTAAACCTCACAACAGCTCTATGAGGTATCAACATCCCTAATTTTTAGATAAGCAAACTGAGGGCCAACTAAGGCAGGTAATTTGCCCAGGGTCATACTGAGGCAACTGGCATGTGAGCCCAGGCAGTTTGACCTTCTCTTCCCATTGCCCACAGGATGACGACCACATTCTTCAGGCTGACACCAGAAACTTGCTTCAGCATGGCTGGACTGGCCCTTCTAGCCTCTCTCCCTCATGCTCTAAACTTACCTCCCTCATGTTCTAAACTTAGGCCACTCCAATGTTTATGCTAAATACCCTCCAGAAATACCTTTTCTCCTTTTCTACCAATCCAACCCAACATATCCTGGAGGTCTAAGTCAAATTCTACCTCATCCATGAAATCTCTCCTCTGATTGCCCCTTTCAATTCTGATCTCCTCTCTGAAATCCTACAATAGCACTTAATAGACTGTCTTGTTATCCTGAAGACTGGGATGCTGCTGCTAGGGAGGCTGCCAGATCCTTGAGGGCATGGGCTATGAGTCTTCATCTTCTCATGAATTCCTAACAATTACAGTGCCCATTTTTTTCCAAAGAAAAATTGGGATATATGGTCTGATATGGTAACTATTTATTAAAAATACTTAAAATTGGGAGTATTTTGGAAAATTTAAGACTATCGCCATTTTACCAATGTCATCAAGCACAGGACTGAGCACATAAGAGGTCCTTAATAAATGCTTATTAGATAAATGACCATGCAACAACAGTGAAGTCCAAAACAGAGTAGAGTAGAAGTCTTTTATGAGAAAAATGTTGTTAAACCATAGATGTTAAACCACACTGTATTTGATATCAACTCTGATTAGCAGCTCTGAAAATGCTCAGGTTAGCGAATTAAACATGAGGCCTGCTCCATGTGCCTGCATATTAGGTGCAGAAGGGAAAGTCAAAACAAGTCTCGAAGAAGCAGAAATTGTTTCCTTTTCTTACATCAAGCCTGAGTAATCCAGTCATGGTAGGGATACTTCAGTCCCAAGAGTTCTTTCCCATTGTGAGCTCTACTTTCTCTTGGCCTGGCTGCCAACTAGAAGTCTGCAGGATGGTGTTTGGTAATGGGCGCACAGGATACCAGGGCTGCCTTTTTACCCGAGCTGGGTGTCAACCCCACCCAAACACACACACACACACACACACACACACACACACACACACACACACACACACTGCTGTTGGGTCTCCAATAGTAAGTCTTTAAGATTGGGCAGCAGAGTAACTGAGGAATTTGGGCTTTGGGGTTAGGAAGACGGTGGGTTAAATCTAAATCTCCCACTTACTAGCTTTGTGACATCGGGCAAGTCATTTTCCCTCCTGCACCTGCCTTTCTTCAAATGGTTTCTATGATATAAAGTGAGGTTACCTATTTATCTACCTACTTACCTACCTACCTATCTATCTATTGAGACATCTATCGAGAGCTATCTATAAGTACCTGTTCCTGGCAGGTGCTACAAAAGATACGACAGATGATGGTAATGGTGATGCTGACGGGGCCTTTTCCTCTGAAGCTTTGTTGCTTCTTAGGTCTCACTCTCATAATGGAATACCCCCCATACAGTTTGTGCAGCCACTAGGGGCACTTGCCAGTCCCCTCCCCCAGGGCCTCACTTTGTACCATTGACAGCTGCCAATGATTCACCTCAGACACTGATCAAGAGCAGCTTAAGATGCTCTCCTCCCAGAGAACTGTTATCTTCAGAGACGGTTATGGAAGACCATAGGGCACAAGGGCAGAAGAAGGGCCAGTGGGCAAAAGCTCCAACAGGTAGACTTTCACTTACAGGAAGAACTTCCCACAGTAAAAACAGTGGAAGAGGCTGTCTTGGGAGATGGGTATGTTCGTGCAGAGGCTAGATAATTACCTGACAAAGATACAGTAGGGAATATACCTTTATTGAATATGAAATAGATTAGATGAACACTACAGTTTATCTTCCAACTCTGACAACCTATGAGTCCAGGAGAAAACTTTAAAAATCCCACAGATTAAGCTCTGATGGGGAAACTCACAGCATGAGCTGATAGGGGTAGTCATACCATGAAGCCTGGTCCTGGCTCTCCTCAGCCTCAGAAATATACAAGCAAGACACCCAAGGATGAACTGAGCCCAAAAGTTCCCTTCCAAAAGCTTCAGCGCAAGAGCTCCCAGAAACCTCCTTTGCACTGGAGCCTGGGAATGTGCCTTGGCCACCCCTGTCTGGCGCCTAGGGAGCTTCTCCTGCCCCCGCCCCCTGGAGCCTGTGGACTGAAGACTTCCCAGGGGTTATGGGAGCCAGAAGAGTCCCCCAGGACTGTCCCTTGCCAGGCTGAGACTCTCTGGCCCTGCCTACAAGCCTTCTGTCTGCTGGGGCTGGGGGCCTATTCCCTATGGGGTTTGGCTACCATGGAATCTGTCTCCAGTCACCAAGAGCCGCCTGGGATGCCGCATTCCACAGAAGTCTGGCCACTCTGGCGTCACTGCCAAAGTCTGGCCTGTAGCCAGCCCACAGCAGGAACTCAGGGCCAGATTGAGCTGCAGCATTTCCCTCAGGAAGCTGAGTTGACTCAAACAGGTAAGAATGTGAGGTCCAATGCTTGTGCCCAGCTGCACACAAAAAAGGAGAATAAATGGCCTTAGAGCAGCATAAGGAAAACCCCCAAACAACCCTGGGCTTAGAGAAAGATGACAGGCTCAGAGGGTGTCAGCTTGTAATGCTGCTGCCAAAACTGTGATGCAGCTGGAGGCGCATCGGTGTCCCAGCGAGGGGAGGTCACAGGTGCACTGCTCTTTGGGCTGATAAGCCTCGCAGGGGAGCACTGTAACCATCCATTCTGGGCACCTTGTTTAAGGTGGACACCAGTGGAGTAAAACGGGTACATGCAGCAGACAGGATGGTGAGAAGTGTGAAGTGACATCTTTCCTCATGGGACTTTGGGCAAGTTACTTAATCTCTGAGTCTCAGTTTCCCAAATGAGCCAAGTCTAAGGATTAAATGTGGTAAATGGGGAAGCCTCCAGGACTGAACAGATCAAAGTTAGTCAAATGTAAATCTGATCAAGGTCAAGGGCTGGTGTGGGTAGTAGTGAGCCTCCTGGTATTAGTGTTTAAGCAGGGCCT